GGGTGCACCAGGAGAGGTTGAGATCACGGTTAAGCCCTCTAAAGTTGGATCCTACGACCTGAGTTTCGTATATCGCCGCATATTTGAACCTCCGAGCGAAAAGGACACGAAATACACTATTCACTTTGACGTTCAATGATGTAGTTTTCATACACCGATGACTTTAAAAGCCGCATAACTATATATACCTAAGTGCTTATCTATCTATATATAAACATGTATTTATTGAAAAATACTTACCCTCCCCCAAAAGTAAAATGTTTCAGAGCCAAGCAAATTTATTAACTCTAGTGGAAACACATTTATTCCATTCCTGAATCAGCATATTACACGATTCAATATGGAAAAGGGAACGAAGATGATTGGGATGCGCACGTGTGTGTATATCGACAGGGGAGTTTTGCCGATGTAAGGACAAACAGTCGTATAATCGCATCAATCCTTCTATTCTGTTATTATGTTAAACAGGTCTGTTACATTTACGCATTTATGACTTTCAGACTTGATAGCAGGGCCCACATATTGCTTACATTTTTATTTTCAGTGGTTAAATGAATATTTTACTGTTTTATGAATAAATAGTATTTATTATTTTGATAGGATTGGAACAAAGGTGCAGTTCATGTTTCACAGTTTCTTTCTTACACTGTACTGCTATTTATTTATTGTTTTAGATATGAAGTCATGTAACTCTAAGTTTCTTCATTTTAAATTTTTCTTTATTTTATTTTTTTTCAGCGTTTCATAACGTAGGCTCAGGTTAAATTCCCTTTTTGGTTTACCAACTGGGTTTTTAAATGTCACTTCTTTTGGACGACTTTGTCGTTCTTGGATTTCACGGCGTGCGCGACGCCCCGGAGATTCACGCCGGGTTTAAAAGACGTGGTTTTGAGGCCGCCGTGGTCGATCACGCTTTTATCATCTCCCATCTTCACCTTGCTGTCTCTTTTTACCGTTTTTGCGGCGAAAGCGCTTTTTCCACGGGGGCTTTGTCGAACGTCTCGGCGCGCAAACGCGGGCGTCCCTGGGCCGCGCGGGATCTCTTCACGTCGCTTTCGCTTTCCCACAATCTTGATCGCATCCTACAGGTGCTCCCGGCAGAATCCAAAACTTCAGCGGTGTTGGTAATTATCCCGAAAAAAATTTACGACGCCCATACTGACGAAGTCATCGATTGTATTATTCGAAAAGACTCTCAGGCGGACATGGTGGGGAAGGCCATTCCGCATTCTTTGGTCTATCGACATTCCGGGTTGTTTCCTTTTCTGGAATATGTGGATGTGGCGAAGGTGATGGGGTTTTACGGGATCACCGAGCGGGATAAATCCGCCATGATGCAAAGTTTTAGTTTAAACGAAACCTACGCCCTCGCGCAGGAGGTGTTGGGGACAGATTTTGCGCCCACCTTGACGGCTTTTCATGCCGGAGGAAATATCTGTCAATGTCCTTGCGATCGAACCGCCTGCGCGAAGAATGCAATCTCCATGATGCTTGCCGCCAAAGCGTTGGAGCAATGTGTGGTGAATAAGTTGTCTTTGTGTGATGTTTAGCCCACAAAAGAAGGGTAAAATAGAAAGAAAAAAGAAACCTATAGCGGTAAATCCCTAAAGGAGCAATAAACACACAAAAAGTGAGCGGTCTGTGCACCGATAACACCGGTCCTACACCATATTTTACAATTCTTTAATGCCACGTAATGTCTTTTCATGTTTATGTGTGTTCGTAAAGTTGTTTTGCATCTACCACAATCTTCCACCTTTTGATTTTCCGATTGATATTTTATTGCTGTGATTGTGAGTCTTTACCGAATAGATCGCCATTTATTCGACGCTCTCGAACACCGTCGACGTGACGAACTTATAGAATCCCCTATCACAACCTTACAAGGTCAAAACAGTTCTACCTCCCCTCCAAAAAAAAAAACATTTATTTATTAGTATATATCGATTATTATTATTATTAATATTATTATTTATCCTCTGATTATCAACCCTAGAGTATTTTAATGGCATCCACGGCCTTTACGGTTCGAGTGCCCTCTCGCGTGCTCCTTCGAATCCGCGGGGCCGAGGCCCACGATCTTTTGCAGGGCCTTTTCACTAACGACCTGCGCGAGCTGCGCCCCGGGGGTAGTTTGTGGGGCTGTTTTCTCTTCTTCACCGGGCGGGTGATGTGCGATGCCTATCTCTACCAATCACGCCATTTACACCTCGGGCAGGCCTCCATTTTGGTCGAGATCCATCGCGGCTGTCGAGACCACCTCCTCGAGCATCTTCGCGAGATGCGGCTGCGGAAAAAAGTCCAAATCGACGACGTCTCCAACGAGTTGAGCGTGTTCGCGTCGTTTGGACCTGAGGATGGGAGGGGCGAGGACCTTCGCGGTGGGATTTCGCCCGATCCGACGGCGGGGAAGGATGGTTTGGATTCCTTTACCCTCCTCGAGGCCAACGCGGAGAGGTTTGACGACCCCCGCCAGTTTGCGCTGTCCAGCGGGGAAAATTCCGCCTCATCGTCGTTTGGGTTAATCAAGACGATTATTTCGGAATCCTGGGCACCTCGCACCACCCTTTGCGGGGATGTTTACACTCAATTGCTGCTTTCAAATGGGATCGGGGAGGGTCCGGAGGTGTTTAAATTCAACAAAACCTTCCCGTTCGAAGCCAACGTTGACTTTCTTCACGGCGTTTCTTTTCACAAAGGCTGCTATTTAGGCCAGGAGCTCACCCACCGAACCCACGTCATGTTGGTGACCCGCAAACGCAATGTCCCGTTGGTCTTTCCCACCGTGAAAGATTCCCCGCTTTCGTCCTCACTCGAGGATGGGCTTTATAGTTCCGAGAAGGAAAAAGTTGGGGAGATCACCACTGTCAGTGGGGGCTACGGGCTGGGTTTGATTCGTATGAAATACGTCGATAAAGAGCGCAAGATAATTCCCGGGTTGTCGTTAAAGGACGGAACACCGGTAGAGATGTCGATTCCGTCGTGGTGGCCTCAAAAGGAAGTGAAAAAAATGCTAAAAGGTAACTAACTTCTTGCTGAGTATTATCAATAACGGGCATGAAGGCGGTGTAAATTTTCAGGAATAATTTCGGTATGACTCAAACACCGAATGCGGTTTGATTCTTTTTGAAACGGAGAACCCTTCAGGTGGATTCATTGCTTGGAAATAGACATGCACTTGAGGGATGCAGAAAGTCTGTATTATACACGTTTCTACGATATTGTTCCTTATGCCATCACAAACTTTTCGATGTCTTCCGCTGCTAT